TCATTTGAAGGAATACATTTTCATAATTTTAATTCAAGACATATCCACGATCGAAGAAGATAAAGTATTGGTGATTGTGATACCTCATTTTGACATTTGTCTATGATGAATGTAAATAAATATTTATCAATAATTTATTTCTCAATTAAATGGATGCCATTGTTTATACTCTCGCTTTAAACCTATTAATTTTTCCGGATTTGTTTATAAAATAATCACAGGTGCAATAGTAATGCAATCAACTCTGAGCAGGGGATATGTCCCCGAAATTGTTCGTAATCATTTTATTTGATTATTTATTTAGTGGAAATTATAAATCATCGTGAATATGTGAACGATTTTCCTTTACATTCCTCGAATGGCACTGAATGAGGAAATTTTCAAACAAAATCACTTTCGCTTTGGATTATTCGATTCGCTTAGTTTCTTTTGCGGTAGTTGTTTCGACTGGGACTTATTCGATACGTCTGCATCGGCCACATCGTCCTGTGCATCTCGACTCTTTTCTTGTTCAGCCAGTTTTTGTAATAATAACACCTTGTAACGATCCATCGCGAAGAATTCCGCCTCCCTCTGCAAAACAGTTCAGCCTCTATATGAAAGCAATCACTTCGTTGCTCATTCATCGCTCACCAAACTGTTCGCGAATGAATACAACAACTTAAGTGAAACAGAACGTAATAAGAATATGTGAACTCAACATACGCACAAATTACAACTACTCATGGAATCATCTTGATGAAATATAGGCGACATTAAATAAGTGTATGAAAATGGTCTAATTTTGTCGAAGTGGCATTTTTTCAACGTTGGAACAGGTCATCATGAATGAGGCCCTTAAGTTTGCTCATCCATTCAACTCACAACCAAACCAGAAGGATAATTTATGTTCACGAATTGTCGCATATCAACATTGCTTAACCATTTTTTGATGTGTGACCCGACCCTCTGTTTGGTTTTTTGAAATTTCAATGATAGCAGTGTGCTCTGCGATTCAATGATCGCGACTCATAATGGTTTTATATTATTCGGTGATTTATGTGCAGTCACAACTTTATCTGTACACATTGTGAACAATAAGAAATAAAAAAAGAATAAAGCAACTACTTCCCATTCGCGAGCATTTGCTTTCAATCAACTTTGTAGCTTATCGTAACTGAACTCGCACTGACTAAAGATTGAAATGAAGCTATTTTATGGTCTCGGTCAATGCGGAATGGACCTCATCAAAAGATCAAACATTGAAAAATGCGATCGCGAACAACAAAACGAAATCGGTGCAGTGAACTGCGTACAATAAGTTGTCGAATGAGGAATGTTGACTCGGGGAGTACGGTACGATTGCCATCACGCATATATTGTAGAATGTATGCGAATAGTTTACCGTCTCGATTGATGAATATTTGACCATCCTCATCTTCCTGTAACCATAAACAGAATCTCACAATATGCACACACCTAAACATTGCTCGATATTCGTAAACAAAAAAAANAAAAAAAATTCGAATACAACGAAAATATCGTCAAATAATTGGAATTCACAGAAGAAAATTGGAAAGATCGATTAAAAATTGAATGATTTGATCGAATGAGTTGAAAGTTTTAGCTGAAATTCGATAGAATGAGTTGAAAACGAATCATTTCATGTCAGTTACAATCTTCAAAAACTATCCTAACAATTAGTGTTGAAAATTGTGGTAAGGCGGCACAATCCAAATATATCAGAAGACATTTTCATACACAAGAAAACACAAATCATTATTCGTATTAGATGATTTTATGTTTACACGTCAACATCAAAATATTGCCTTGTGAGATTTAATAATTTCGGCAAATACGTATTACTCTTCGTTCGAATGTCTCAAATCTCTCCCTCTCTGATACTCCCGAATGTCTTCGAGTTGTACGTGAGATGACCAGAAATAATGTTTTCATATTTTCAAACGATTTTATGTCGTTAATCAACTAACGCCTCAAGAAGCAGGTACGATGTTTTCTGTCGAATTCGATGAGAAGATCACCGACTTATCCTCACTAAACAACGCGTTCTTTTAGCATTTCGACTGAAGGCCTCATGCAATCGAAATGAATAAACGCATTCGCGAATATAATCGACTTACGATAATATTTCGTCGAAAAACGACAATTTTGCCACTTGATTGATCAATCGACAGCATATGCTCGAAGAATCTTGACTTGCCATTTACGAGTGTGTCATAAAGTGTCATATAACGTTTACCGCTGACATTAATGCGGACAATTTCATTCGAGTGATGCAATTCAGGTGCAAATTCATTTGGATCAATGAATGGTGTCATAGTTGGACTCCCAACAGCCATCATTCCTGCCGGTCCACCACCCGCTCCAGGATATCCACCACCAAACCCAGTGCTCATCGCTTTATCGTTTCCGCTCTCTGCACCTTGATCGTGAAACTATTAGGATAATTCGTTGAGCGATATGAACATTCGCATCGCATAAAATGAAAATCATTGCAGATAGTGAGCATCTATCAAAATCAAGCAATGTTCACTGTTTCAAATGCGATTGCTTCACGTTTCAATACGCACCAATTAGTTCATCAATAAAATAATAAAGTCCATTCTCATTCATGACGCATCATCTTACTAAAAACATTGTTGCAGAAAGATGACAAAGTATTCTATCGAACAATCGATGCATTTCGACGCCAATCAATACAAAAAATGCACAAGAATTTATCGCTGATACTGATAGGTAAATGAACGAAAAGTATTCCACAAAAAATCTGTCTCTAGTGATCGAAAACTTTCTGCTGATTGAATGTTCATGCGGTGACGATATGACGATTTAAAAAAACAATTTCACTGATTTGATGCAAATCGTACGTTCAAAAAATATCAATGTCATATGAACAATTGAGTGGCCTTCTTAAGGTCGTACCTCATTGAAGATTACGCGTGAAGTGAGATGTTAACGGCATTCTGCAATCGTGACAAATAGCAATAAGCTCTTTTAAAGAATGTGATTTTATTCTGCTGTGAAATCCTATGGCATTAAATATAGAAGATGGCAAATAGTTAGAGCGAATGCGATAAAATACTGATAAACGCAAGATTTAGAAGAGAGCGGAGAAGCAAAATTAAGTGGAAGTGATACAAACAAACGTGTATATGTTCAACACTGAATAAACATTATAATCAGCCCATTTTTAGCCATCGAAATGTGAGTTTTATCATTCGCTGTCAGCTACACTATGAATCGCTCCATTTCAAATTTCTTTTTCAAATTTCAAATTGTACATTCATCACATAATCGCCGACTGTTGTGTACGTGAACATCCGTAGGCTACAGTTGAATAATTTCAATTCCTTCAGTTTTCGAATTACAAGCAAAATTTCTTCACACATCATGAGAAGCATTGATCAATGATCACTGATCTTCTCAACACACTCAACTGCTTGCAAATAACTTCAAACCTTTAGTTTCATATTTCTGTTGGTAATGATTATCATTTTGACTGCAACGAAAAGTGCTCTGAAGCATCAGAACAAAAAAAAACGATCTCATTCTCTAAATATAATGCTTCCAAACTGAATGTATTTTGATTTTAAGAGATGATTTCATAACGATGATGGCTCTGCATATTAGATGTATGCGTTTTTTTCAGTCAACATATAGTAAGCCCATCAAAGGCATTTATCTCATATTCAATGAAGTACAACTGCGTAATTAATTCTCTTCACGATGAAAATAACTCGCTTGACTGTTCTAGCTCTATGATCAAACAAAAATCTCATTGAACTTATCTACACAAATCAAATTTTGCGTTCTATTTGAGAAACTGTGTGATTATAACATCTCCACAGCAAATTTCACTATACCTTCTTCGACCGTAACGCTTATTTGATTTGAATTTCTTCTTTCATTAATCAATTCAATAAGTTCCATTATTCGATGGTCATTAAGAAATGAATTTAATGAATTTAATAATAATTTAATAATAATAATTTTTAATGAATTTAATAATAATTTAATAATAAGAATAATTTTTAATGAATTTGATAATAATAACAATAAACGAATTGATACAATACCTAACGCATCTGACGCCAGTACAAAATCCACAGACAGTATTAATTTGATGTGTTGAACGGATGGATAAGAACAGCAAGGGAAGCATATCTGAGGTACAGTCACTCCCTTTTTGGTGATTATTCATTTGAATGTCTAAAAGATTTTATGTGGCGGAAATAAGAGAACAAGGAACAAATCGAACAAAATAAACAGTATGATGCAGTGATAGTTCAAATTTACAGTGGCTTAGTTATCAGTTCACAAGGAGATTGCGAAACCAAAAAAAACAATTAACAATAAAATATGACAATGGCAACAATAAAAACAATAATCAACAGAAGGAACGCAATCAAATTCGCCTATAAAAATGTGACTACTGTGAAAATAAAAGCATCATTTTACTGATATCAAAAAGATTATTATACGATTGGTGAACTTAACGCAGAATTATCAAGAGAGGACCATAAAACAGTTTCAAGGGAATGCTGAACAGTTTCGATATCAATTTTGCTCAGAATCATGCAAACTGCCCTACAAAGAAGTTGAATAGCAATTGAAAATGATGCCTGCGAAACACAAAAATATCTCAAAATGAGGAAATGTAGTCGACGTATAAACCACAACAATATTGACCGGAACCGAACAACTCAAAGCGAATAGGTCGCATACCAAATTTATTGTCCGATTACCTTCGATTCGCTCATCCATCCAAAAGCGTATCATTCAATTCATCGCTAAGATCTTTGGTGATATCCTCTAAATTCTGCAGAAACGAATTTACTTCATAGATTCTAACGCAACCAATGAAATATCTAAATTATGTAAGTCGTTTCGGAATATTTCCCAAAACAACGCTTTTTTTTCAAATAATCTAACTGAACCTTCATGCTGAATAACTTGTTCATCAAATCCTCCCCTGATGATTGGATTGGCAAATATGATTGTTGTAATGAGTGAGTAATTCAACATGAATTGTAAAAAATCCAAAATTTTTCGGAAGGTTTGAAAAGTTTCCTGAGGAAACATTTCTCACAAAAAAAANAAAAAAAACTCACTTTGAACAGTTTTTCGCTCACCAACGAATCGGACATCAAACAATCCAAATCACCGTTGACGGAATCATCCAAAAATGGCGTCACATTTTCGTTGTTCTCTAAAAATTTCAAAACACATCTACAGCTTTTTTTGCGCTGTTATTTTCACGAAGCGAATAATTAATTAATAATGTTTCGGATCAGTCAAAACTGACAGCATGAACATACCGTTAGGCAGCAGAAATTCACGGTTGAAGAGACCGTTGCTTTGGTCAATGATCTCCTCGCAAGGTGTTAGAACTCGATACGGCATACGAGGTGTACCAGGAGTGGCACTGAGAGATGGCGACATCTTACTGAACGGAGGAGAACCGGATGAGCTCGATGAACCAGTGACTGTACTCGATGAACTCTCTGATGGAACGTCTCGTTCGGCATTCTCCTCTTGACGACGATCATTTGGAACAGCTATCTGATGACTGGTTGATCCTTTACGTTGTAATGCGTCTGCAAATACCTCTCCAACACACATCAAATACAATTAATGCACTTAATATTCCCTCGAAAAACTCAAATCTGCCTATTGTTTCATCCCAAAATCTCTCCCGATCACAAGATGGCATTTATAGTCACAATCACTATCGATCATTTTTCGCTTGTAAGACTTCACAAAATTTGGTTATATCAAATGAACACTGATTATATATAAACCACAAAACTTAAGAACTATGATCTCCTAATGACCAAGTGAAATGGAGCAAAATGACAACGGTGCAAACACTTAATTAATCCTGAAATTCCCGAAAATGCCGTCATCCAAGAATATCTTAATGAAGATAGATTACGTTCAGATGCATAGGATTAATGTAAATGAGAGGAGCACTTTCTATCGAGCTCACCTGATACTTTTCGACTATCACTGCTGTCAATATCATTACCATCATTATCAGCTTTTAATGATTTCCGAAGTTTGGTCGTGCGACGTTTCCGTTTTAGAGATGTTAGAGTATTACTTCGTAACGGGTTGCTTGTTGATGCTTCACACAACAATTTCAGTACATCTGCTCGCTCCCGTTCACTGGCCACATCGAATGGCGTTCGACCCAACTGAACAATCGAACGGCACTCATTGGTTCAATCACTTATTCAAACATGAATGAAATTGGTATCAATACAAATTTCTTATTGTACAATCTTCAAATCACTCATATACACACAATACACATACACNAGAAAAGAATGTAGTATGAACCAGTTTTTGGTAATGCATTCGACGACGATGACTAAATAACGATATCGGTCGCCCAATAATACTAATCAATGCTAACCTGGTCAGTAATATCCCTCTTCGCACCCAACGACAAAAGCATTTTCACACAATCGTGGTGTCCCTCCCTCGCGGCAAGATGCAACGGCGATTCACCCTGAAACATGGTCAAAACTGATTATCTTCATCGAAGAGAAAACCAAGAGAGAATTAGCGGTCCTGTTTAAAGGAAATGCAACTTTCAACAACGTATCAATTAAACACTGCAAATGGTGCCTAGAAGGCACCATTTGCAAAAGTTCTTTGTTGTATACACACCGTATCAAAGCTCAATCATTTGACAACATTCAAATGATAAACGAACTAAATAAAAATACCTTATTATCAGTTTGGTCGAGTTTCAAGCCATTCGAATAGAAAAGAGCGATTAGTTCGGGTCGATTATTGAGAGCTGCATAATGGAGTGCTGAACGACCGTAAAGATCCAGGATAGGACGATTGGGAGATTGTGATAAGACAAACCGTACTGATTCGTCATCTCGCTGCGGCGATATACGCTACAAATTGGTTCATTTCAATCGATCTCTATACTTTTTGCAATTTCTCAACTCATTTGTGGATTCGTACGAATAAAAACTGCAGCACATCTTCATTTATCCTCTAGAATCAGTTCGAAAGAGCATCATACGTTTATTTCTTGAAACCATTGTGTTGGAACGGCTAACTGATCGAAAACAGACATCTTACGATCATAATATCTCAACTTACCTTCGGAGGTGATCGCTTCTTATGGTTTCCGTTCGACGAGGCCGAAGTTGGCGCACTAAACACATAATGAAATAAGATATGAATAACTAATATTATTCCAGTCCAATCAATGCACTAAAGTCCACAAAAATAACGGAATCTTCAGAGATACGACTAAGTTTTTTTGTGAAATTAGTAAACAAAAATTTTTCTCAGTTTCTCAACGCCAAGCAGCTTTTCTCTCCTTCTTATCTAATCGGATCAACACACCACACTGCCTTTGCATGAGAATGATGCAGTGAAAAAGGCAACAAAAGCAAACCTCGCAATCTGTGAAAATGACTAACTTGGACGAGTTGACTTCTCCACTGGGTGATGCTCCGATCATTGTCTCAGCAAGCTTCTGTATAATCGTGTTCTCATCATTCATCGCGTCCAGCACAATCCGAGCACATTCTTGTGAAACGTGCGGCTTACTAACGGCTAACGTTAACGGCATTTGATCAAATGAATTCACCGCGTACAACTGTAATAGATTCATTCTGATCCACTGCTCATTCACCAATATCCATCTAAATGCTTCACAATAGACTAGGATCAAAATCGCTTTGAGATATCATATTCGCACGGAATTTTCAAAACAAAATACGGATGAATGGACTCAATGGGGAATAAGCAATGACGAACATCACATTTGTGTGTTGCAATAAGTGTTCTTAATATGGGAATATTATTCGAGAGAATCGCTAAATGCAGAACACTGTTGCCATCTTCATCGACACAATCATTCAAATCAATTCCACTCGCAATTTGACGTTGCACCTCGTCGATACATCCATCACGAATCGCTTTCATCAATGCGTTCTCTTGCTGGTCTAATAAACATTTTACCACTATCATTATTGAAGAATGAGTGCTCATCTGTATCAAATAATGCCGCTCACAACTATTATGCATTCACTGAAGTTCGAAATACCGATTCGTTGAAGGGAACATTTGATTCAAGATCCCTTCAGAGAAGAAAACCTGACGAGCACACTAGGAAAAATAAGAACAGACTATTTCTGTCAACCACTATCGAGCATCCAATTCGAAAATAGAACTTAGAAGAATAGAAATTGAATGAGCGCAAAATACCTTTTTCATCTTCATTTTCCAAACGTATAATGCATCGATCAATTATCGGATCGTGAAAAGCATTCACATCAATTTTATTGAATGCATCCAATGAATCCTACAGAAAAATTCCCTCAGAAGCGATGTTAAAGATCAACTGAACATTGCTATAAATCAAAACAAAAAACCAAAACTCCACTAATCGACTGCATGCATCCAACATCATCAAACAAATTATAATATTTCTCGCTCGTCGAAGTGACCGTACAAACAAGAAGTATTTGAGAAGAAAATTCAGTCAAAATGATTATCATAACAAAGAATTTAGTCACCTGATGAGGTGCTTGCACTTTTCTGATAGGCGATTCATTCGGTGAATTTCCTTTGAAACATCTGCTGATCGCAGTTGAGTGATAAGCACCCTCATCAACTGCAGTCTCGACACGTTCATATTTAAAATCAGTTAGGACTGAGCTCTTGCATCGATCTCCGGCTGTAGCATCAATCTATTTAGATTATTCATCAACGCTGGTAATCAACAAAATTCAAGCAATAACAAATGATTTTAAGCACTGATTTGTTGATAATTAATCGCTCAGAGCTGTGATTGCTTCGAATGGTCATTTATAGGCGCATAGACTAAACTTTGCGCATTGCTCATCAAATGATAGCAATACCACAATATTGCTAGCTGATTACATCCATAAAAACTTGACCATCTGACGTCGAACAGATGAATAATAAAATAATAAACGTGATGAAATTGGTTCAGTGGAAACGCATCACTAAAAAATGCCATATAGGAAGATAACTAACGTGGTATTTTCCATGTACAAACAGAGAGTGTTTTTTGTTGACGTTTTTTGCGTTTCAAAATGCCGTGAAAACCGAATAAAGCGATAATGATGAGAATGATTAATGCAACGATTAGAATCGATAAAATCTTTCGAAACACATCTTCTGGCGGTTTCAAGATGCGGACACGATCCCCTTCAGCATACACATCGCTCACACGAATTCCCAGCAATTTTCGCTCACCATCACTCTGCAAATTCGTTCGAAACTATCCAAAAATTCAATGCAAAAAAGCGCAATTGAACTGGTCATCCAACTGATCGAAGGCGATACCCTTCACAGATTTGCATCAGATAGCATTGGGAATATTTTAGGCGTAACGCAAAAATCAAGAGATTCAAAAGATAGATTACGTGATTGGACGATAGTATTGACGATAAGAAGGTGGCTGCATTTGCGGTTGTAGTGAAACATGGAATGGAGTAGATTTGTGAAAGTTGATGACGACGTTTCAGACATCCTGATATATCGATATCCACAAACAACAATACACCGTCCGCATTCACCCTGTAACATAGCACTGCTATAAGCATATTGTTTCCCTCTTCTCTACTTCATAAGATCGCCCCGTAACAAATTATCTCGATTCATTCTGGCATTTTGCATACCTTTTCCAAATACCCCAAAAAAGTATCGGCTGAATGGATGCACCCAAACTAGCAAAGTATTCAACAGAAATCTGAAATCTCAAGCATTAAACTGACAACTCATTCTTCAATCGGACCTCATCATTATCAATTGATATACCATATCAATCATAATCTCCCAGTACTTCACCTCGCTTCACACTTTAATGCGTTCATAAGATAACTGCTAAACGAATCCTAAAGTAATCATATCGCATCAAACCAAACAAACGAATGACAACAATACATAACAACAAAAATATATCAATACCAGCCATAATCGAATGGTGCATATGTCGATGAAGAATTCAACAAATCAATCCGTTCACCAATACCTTCTGCTGAAGACCAAGTGAAGATTCTCGGTTTATTCTTCGTATCGTACGAGAATCGAACCGGTGAATGCAACACCTCAAGGGTAAATGAGTATAATACAGAAAATAACAGTGCGCTCACTCTACTTCTGCAGCAAATTATCAGCCTGATTCAAAACGAACTGATCGTGAGATAAACCGTTGTTTATTCACCAATCCCAATACTTCTCGACGTAACGAATCGCCGATTTGTTTCACTTCAACGCAATAATGAACGAATCACATCGTTACGCCCACACTTAGTACTTTGACTGAACAAAGATTGCTAAGCAAAATCAACTCAGCATAAGTTGTAAATAAACAGAAACCTTTGCTAATTCAGCCAATAACGATCGCAATTTAGGCACGATCACAGTCGGTGGTGCGTGCAATACCAATGCCAGATTACTGATCTCAATTTGCAGATCAATCGATGATAACGAACTTATATCACCATGATTATCACAATCGCCGCCATCAAATCCACACTCAATAGTATTGCATAAATCGTCGCATTCCGAATCACTGTATTTCATCGCGCAATATGTCTGCATCCTTAATCAAACAATCACTCCTATTTTCAAATAAATAAACACGCATACACCAATGAGCACATCATGAACTACTCACTCTTGGATGAGAGGGTATGATGTTGAAAATAAGTAATTTTTATCGTTCACTCCATTTCTCATCACAATATTGACATTTATAATTCATCGTCATATGGAACAATATTCAAGAATTTCAACATTCTATGCATCACTTCACTAACAATTATATCAGCAATAGCTAATAAAATGAGAGCAAAAGTTAATTTCGCACAAACCCGCAATTCGGAACAGAATTTTGCACGCAATCGAATCCATCATAAAAACAATTCTGATCATTACACTCCTCATCGCAATGACCGTCCGCGAAACGTCTCGCACAAAATTCCGGATGTTCTGCGCATTTCGCTGTTAAATAATCCTCCATCGACGGCACATTTCGTTCGCATCTCTCACCACTGAAACCTAAAAAAATTTTTTCGCACCTTCAACTCACATATGCTTTCCAATACGAAGGCACGTTCAATTATTATGTCTTTACTGGATGGCGACAGGGGGTGGGTTGAAGCAAACTTTCCACTTGATTTCATCCTCTTCAGCTTTCAGATATCTTATGAGATTTTTTACTTGCGGATACTTTCATAAAAATCGCACCATCGCTTCATGGTCGATAAATTAATTCAATTTAGTAAGTAGAGTAAGGCTGAGGGGAGTGGAGTGTTGATGTAAAGTAACGCACCATCAAGACAAGTGCACAACTGCTCGAAGCACGTGCCTCCATTCAGACAGAAACCATTCAATTCACATCTAAAATCCCATCTGCAATCAAATATTCCAAATGCATCAATTTTATCAGTGAATCTCCTCAAACTTGCCCTTCTACTGAAACAAGATCGATTTTCGACAAATATATAATTCAAACACGTTAGTATCTTCATTTCCAAAAAATATCTAGATTTACAGTCAAGTGATCATGGGATGTATTTCCAAACTAAAAAGAGCTCTAAAGTCAATCACATCAGCATATGTTTACGCACAACTAGACTTCGTAAATTCGTTTAGAACTACTCATCACATAATACCATAAATTCGTGAAATCACGCGAGATGCACCATTTTCTGTTTTTCATAACACAACAAACAAACACATCGCCCTCAAAAATTCAACGTTTGAACATCATCAACAGCAATGTGCTACTAATCGAATAAAGATGAAACTAGAACCTATTGAAAGGATGCTCACAACGATCACCGACAAACCCCAACGGACACGAACATTGCACAGAACCGTTCAGATTGAAACATGTCCCTCCATTACCACAATATCCCACATATTCCTCACATTCATTGATATCCTTCTCGCAATATACACCCTTAAAATTAACATGAATTTGTTCAGATTTGCAAACAACGCCCAATCTACAATACACCCGTTTGAGCCAAATTTACAATAAATTTTTACAAAACAAAACATATGGATAAAATTTACAAAACAATATGGAAAATTAATATGCGACGTGAAGTATGTTACCTTCCATCCACGCCGACATCGACAAGTGAATTCATTCGTGTTGTTGTTTTCAATCACTGAATCTGATGACGGCGATACTGATGATATACATTGTGCTCCATTTTTACACGGATTGTCATCACATGCATCTTTTTCGCGGTTGATCATCTCACAACGATCCCCACTAAATCCCGGCCGACATCTACACGTAACTATCTCCTCCTGAAGTGCAAATATCTGCAGTTCACACATGTTTCAATCGCATAACCTAACACTTCATACACTGTGAATTATTCTTTCACGGTAGCATTGCAGTGACACTCAATAAATTCTTAGCTATAGAATGACGAACAGAAATTGCTCGCCGATGAATTCGTGAAATACTGTTGTCGCAATTAAAATTTAATATCGACAAAATTCAAGTAATATCCGTCACAGGTACTCAAATAATAATTCTAATGTGGCTTTCGATAAATATTCTCCGGTGAGGAACTTTGACAAACCTCTGCGTAATGGATAAGTAATTTGACTTGACTTGTAATGAATAAACTGAGCTATATGAATAAATGCTACTACCGATTCAAATGATTACACACTTACATTGAACACTGTACAAGAACCACCATTTTTACAAGTGTTCTGGCTGCATTCAACCGTTCCATTCACAGTATCCACAACTTTAGCACACAAAACGAACCACACCAATACGGAACGGAACTGAACAACCGAATTCCAACGACGCTTTGACCTCATCATTTAAGCAGCTGCTCCAACTGGTTATCAGCTCTATCAAACTGAAAAATATCGAGTCAAACACAACGATCGTGTTAACATAAACTCCCAATTATTCGCCAATTCATATCCAAAACTGGTTGAACACATCTGGCAAATATGTTTACTGTCCAAAGACAGACGACACGGCCATCATATTGACCACAATAATGCTAACGAATAAACGACACAAAACAGTTACGAAATCGTTATAAACTAAGGGATGATGCACTTAATACCTAGTCACAATCACCCCAAATGCCCTCACACATTTCTCTAGAAAGTATTTCCTAAATCAGTGCGATTCGATTAAATAGGATATATATATGCATACATATACTCCTGGTAAAGGGAGAGAATGCGATTGATCAGTGAAGATGTGTATGACTGTCATTCGAAGGAACCTGCCAAATAGTTCATCCAAGAAGTATCAACATGTTGTGCGACAATATGGCATTGAACGGGAGAAAAACTAAACGTGAGAAGAAGGTTTTAACTCGAAAAAAGCATTAACGAGAACAAATGGAAATCTTCGATTCAAAAGATCTCCATTCACTACCTTTCTTCATACGAATTACTTTAATAATTCATAAAGCATTAATAATTGATAACAATTTACAAAGACGTGTACAAATTCGTTATTGTTACATAAATGCACAAATCCACAAGAGAATTCATTAAGAAATAAACGCAATCAGATGTCACCCTAATAAAACACCCTTTCAGACAATGAGCACATTCGATAGAAACAAGTCAGCTTAAACTGGAGTGCCGCACTGACCGGAACAACGATTCAATGCAAGTACGCTGAGAAGTAACATGTGTTTTGTAGATTCCTCAAATGAGGTTGCAGTAACCGCAGAATATATCAAATAATTTCTGTCACTTTATGCTCACAAGCAGATGTATAGAAAAATTCCAAACTGGTTATTTAATAAAAATTTTCCACTTTTCTGTGTCGGAACACATCTGTCGGCTCAGTGGTCTAGTGGTATGATTCTCGCTTTGGGTGCGAGAG